CAAATTATTGAATTCATTTTGTTAAGCTCGGAGACCTACAGTATCATAGTACTTAGCATTGAATTCCCCTAAGAATTCATTCCAAGTCATCATTGCTACATTCCTTCTTATTACCACTGTCTCCCACCAGTAGCGGGCATCTTTCTTTAACACATACGAAGTACAGAGAACTTTTTCTTGCTCCGTTAGATTCATGAAATCCAGAATCGTTTGGAGTGAAGTTAACCACTCCTTAGCTTCTAGTGGGTCAGTGGAACCTTCAAATTCGGGTGGCTTCATCCTATGAAACCGTACATATAATGGTTCCTGATTAGCAATCGGAATAGCTTGTGGCACCATTTCTGGCATCGCCGCAGGCTCTGACTGTGGTGCCGGTTGAACAGGTGGCGCTCTTCTTCGCTCTTGTTCCTGGTCTCTTTGCTCTAACTGTGCCCGTAAATTTCTATTTTCATACTCTTGAGCCTCAAGTCTGGCTCGTAAGTTAGCTATGGTGGCAACTAAATCCACTCTTAATTCTTGAACTAAACGTTCTCTACGTGGACAAACCATGTTTCCATGTGTCTACATAAGAAGAATAATGGTAAACATGGCTAAATTTCTGGATATGTGTGTATGTATAAATCTAAATAAATCCTAGCGTCATTTCATAACATAAAGTTGTTTTAAAATAATACAACTTTTATCAAATGTGGTAGCATTCTGGTAGCATTTTAACCACACTTATCATCTAAAAAAAAATGCATTCCTTAGGTAACCGCATTTTTTTTCCCGTATCTGATTCATTTGTATGCCTGTATACATATACACACACATATCCGCTCAAACATACATATACATTCATCATTCATTACTTACATAAGACAAGTATGATTAACGTATACATCTACACTAATCATTTTATACGTAGGTATTTTCATTCGACGCTCACTAACGCGCTGTTCTTGTTCCTCTCGTTCTATAGCCAATGTTTCTTCTAATTGTGTTACTTCCTCTAAAAAACTTGGTGAGGGTATATGCAACTTCCAATCGTGGAAATACCATAGTTCGCAACTCCTCTGTTAACCCCCTCCAAAATATGAAATATACGTCATGTTCCTGTGTGGTCAGTCATAATCTCACTAAAGAACCATTCGAGTTCGTCTTCTCCGAACCATATTGTATATCCTATAAGGACAAAATTCACACATTGAACTCTAAATTCAAAAGAACTAATAACTTACTTGGGCAATGTAGAGTCAGATGCTCAGTAGAATGTGGGTGGGTGACAGAACCGTCGCTCTGATACCAACTGTGACGACCCTAAATTTTGATTATCATCCTATACTCATACTTAACATTACTTAACCTTTAACACTTACTAATTATAACCTCTTAAAATTCAGGCCAACATTTTTTTTCCATGTACGTCTAAATGATGTAGCATTTAGCTAGCCTTCTGTTTTCAAGTATTTGTAAAATGTTGTAGCATTCTGACGGCAATCTGTTACATTAGTCATCAAAATACATAAAATACTATTTTATTTTACACATAATGTTCAGCAGCGTTTCCAAAACACGTGATGCATCCACAACCCACTTGCCCACACTCCACTGCTGCATCCTCTCTACATGCCCAACAACAAGTTTCAGGGAGCCGGTGCCTAACCCGAGCTTCCTACAACACGAACAAACTTAATGAGCTTTCGCTCAGCAAGTATCAATAGGTCATAACAGATGCAATAATTATGCATACCCATATATGCATTCATGTCATATATCATAATACATTCTGTACTACTAAAACATGTATGGCTTATGTTCTTCTTCTTTCATTACATTCTTTGTTCTGCTTTCGTCTCATTTTAGTCGTTCACATCGTATTTTCACGTTCTGAACGACTTTCATTTCGTGTTTCTCATTCTTTTCATTCTTCTTTACAGATACCGTACCTTTATATGGAATGGTTTCTGTTTTTTATTTTCTTGTCTTTTACTTCTTATGGGCCCTGTCCTGTTGTACTATAGCGCGCATAACCAGTGAGGAGTGGGGTAGCTAACCAATCCAACTCAGTCACGGTTTCATATCTTTCATAGTCTCATAATAACCTTTCCTTCGA